TTTTTTTTTTTGAAAAACAGCATTTAGAAACACTGGAACTGACGTATCGTCCACCATACGTTTGTTTTTTTGTTTTTCTCAACCTTTTATAAAACCTTTCTCTGTCTAGGCACAGCTTTTGAATGTGTCATTTAAGCTAATTTGTTAGTTTAAATGACAAAAGCATAATTGTTGCTGTGATTTACAGGGCTGAACAAAACTGAGAATGACCTACCGAGTGAGGTTAGAGACCAAAACACGGATTTAACAGATCCCACAGTTGCTGCGCACTTTTTTTAGGCAAAGAGAGGAAGTAGTGTTTGTGTTACAAGAAGTCCCGCCCATTGAACGGAAGTCAGGAAAATTACCGTAATAAGGCGTCTTTAAAACAATGTATATGCCGCCAGCTAAGCTAAATATCAATGTTATATCTTAAGCCTATTTGTTCTTTTATGTAGTCTAGCATTTTTCGACGTTTTAAATATTAGAATTGTTTTATTTTTACTTAATCTATAAAGAACGCTGGAGAAAATATAAGTCCTTCTGACTGCATTAAAGTCATCACAGCAACAACACAAGTCGGAAAAACAATCTCTTATGCTGTCAATCTTCCATTTATGTTTGAAGAAAACGCTATGGATTATTTTACGTTTTAATTTATTGTAAAATCCTTTAATTTATTACTGTGTAAAATAGAAGCGTTTAATTTATTTTAAAAGACATATCATTTAATTATAGTCACCATATTGCCATATATTGAAATATATAATCTCACTTAAATAAGGTTAGACTGAATTATGAAATTATCTTTTGATCATCTTTGACAGCTTCTTGACAAAAGCAATTGGCTTCTTTAAGAACACAATTAAGAACAGGGGCAAAGAGCGTCAAACTGATGGAATGCCATGCCTGCATATCTGGACACTAAGGCTTCATATACAGAAAGTGGGATAACTTTGTTGGTTGTGAATCTTCTTCTTTCAGCTGTTCCCTTCAGGGGCCACCACCCTCTCCATGTCGTTTTTCACGGCGTCCACATTATTTCCAAAAACTGCTCCACCTTAACTGTCCCTCTGAGCTGCTCATATCTAATCCTGTCCACCTGGGTCACTGGTCATTGCCATCTCATATATTAATTTTTTTATAACATGCCATGATGGCTTTCATCATAGCAGTTCTCACTACAGTCTTATAAATCTTCCCCTTTAACTTTGCTGCTATTTTTTTCTGTCACAAATCACCCCTGACACCCGTCTTCATCCATTCCGTTTCCACTTCACTTTTCATCACTCTGGATGGTTGACCATGGTTATCTAAACTCTTACACTACATCTACTTCTCGCATCACTCTTGTTTACATACTTATAAGCTGCCTTCTTGCTTCTGCTCACCTTCATTCCTCTTCACTCCAAAGCAAACCTCCACCTCTCCAGGCTTTCTTCCATTGGTAAACATGAAAAACATTACAATAGCAAACATTATTCAGCCAGTTATGGTTTAATAAATACAATGTTACTTAAGTGGGACTGCCGAACAGTCGAGCGCTCAACCAAGGGTCAAGATGGGGACCCTACGGTTCGTTAGGTCGATGCGGTGTCTACTGTATTCTTTATTATGTCTACGGCCATAACTATCTGTGGTTAACACAGTAATGGCATCATCATCTGGTTTGTACACCTTAAAAGGAACAATCTTCAATCCTCCAGTTTGCCACCTTAACTCTTCTTCAGATCTCAGCCTCAGTTTTTGCCTCTTCTTGGTTGTTTTTCGCAGGCATTACACCCATAAACAGGTCAAGAGAGTTAGCAACCAGTGGATACTTTGTTTATAATAAAACTTAGTGCTGTGGAAAAGTTTTCTAAAATAACCAGTAAAATACTCTGCGGTAGTCTTTTAAGTGCCAGAGTCTTATTAATCCTCTTAAATAGTTGGGGCTCAAACAAAGAGGGTTAAAACAAAGATAAAACTAAATTATCTCGTGGATTAAAGAAGGTTAAGCCAGAAGTGGTTTAACAAGAAGCAGAGTGGGCATGACAGAAAAGCTATTCTTCCCTGAAAAAAAAAACTAAACAAAAAAGCCTCACAGCAAGTGTCTTTTCGTTGATGTATGCACAGCAAGGCTCATTTAATGACCCGTGATTTTGGCACCATGATGATCACCCCGATGGCCAGAATGCCATTGAAGACTAAATGTTTTATCTTTGCTGGAGTTACTGGACTAGCTAAGAGCTTCACTGGAAGAGAGCAGGATTTTCAATTATGAGGCTGTGCAGCATCATAAAGTGACAAATAAAACCCACCCTCCTCAGTCGTTTGCGAAATGCATTTGCAAAGTAGGAACAATAATAATGTCTGTGAGTAACATGCTTCATTTCATTTTTACCTCGAAGAAGATGGATCTCACATCTCCATTAACATGTGCAGTTAATATGATTTTAATTTGGATGGGTGTTATTCAATATGCAATATACATATACTCAGTATATATATGTATATCTGCACTTTTCATGAAAATCATAAATGTGGTACAAAATATATACAGTTATATTTTCTTATAGTATGTTTATGCATTTTGATTTTTTTCATGAAATGCATAGCCTCGGTGATTGTTATATGTCAAGCTTTTCACAAACTAATATAATTCGGTATTATTATATCATTATTATTATTGTATTTTTATGCATTTCTGTCATGTTTTGTTTTTTTTGGGGGGGGGATTGTTTCATGAAATTCATAGTCTGGGTGGTCTTATTGTGTAAAGTTTTTACGAACCAAAATATTATGTTGTATATTATGTAGAAGTTATACTCATGGTTACATTGTTTGGGGCACATGTGTCAAACTCAAAGCCCGGGGGGCCAAATGCGGCCCATCAAGCCGTTTTGTGTAGCCCGCGAGAGATTAAAAAGCATTTAGTAAAGTTCATGCAGCAGAGTTTTTTTTATTACACAGCAATGAAAATATTTGTAGCTTGAATAAATAATAATCAATTGCAGACACATGTATTAGTCTGTTATGGACAAGTTACATCTATACCAGTGGTCCCCAACCTTTTTTGTTCCAAGGACTGGTCAGCTAGTACCACCCATTAATACAGACCGGTAGCAAGGTGCTGAACATTGTAAGGTCGTTAAAATTTCAACATCTACCAGACTCAAAAAACACTTACATCGAAAGCAACTGGACAAAGTAGGTTTTTTGAAGACGTTTCA